CTCCCCCCTCCCTCCCCTTTTCCTATCTTATCTCCGCACCTCCTTTAGTTTTTTAAAGTAAATGTTTTACAGCACTTGCAACACTCAGTTCTCATTTTATTTTTACTGTCTTGTTGCATTGAAAATCACTTCAGTATGTGCGTGTGTGACAATATTTTCTACACACAGCGTGCTTTTACTCGGTAACAGTTATTGTGAGCGTTACTGTAAAACAAAACAAAACAAAACAAACAAATTTTAACAAGCAAAAAAACACAAACAAAGAGACAACAAATAAATCAAAACGAAGCCTCCACTCAAGAAAAAAAAAACAACAACAACCCAAAACTAATCAAAACAAAAGACTACGAAACCGCAACTCTGGGAATGTTGGGTGAAATTATTGGTAGTGGGTTACCTTTCGCTCTGTGTGACATGCTGACAGATTCACACCATGCATGTCATTAACTCTCCTGTCACTTGCATAGGATCAACGAGTGACGCCTAATAGCTTTTCACAGGTACTCCGGCCGAAGGGTGAGAGAGTTGTTTTCAACCTGTCAAGTTTTCATAGCCGTAACAGTGACGAGCGATTTCCTCTTTCGGAGAAGTTATGCAAAATATTGACCTACCAAATGTGTTTGTTTGTTAGTTTGTTTGAGTAAAGAGAAGCACGTCATCACACTAATTGCCATAGTGCTGGAAAAAAGGAGAACAAGACAGACAGAAATAACAGATGGAAAGTAGTAGAGAAGTAGAACTACCAGTAGCCCTCTCCAACCACCGGCGACCAAGCAAACCAACAATAACGATAACAAACAATAACGATAACATGTAACCCTGAAAGAAACCAAAGCTCAATCACGTTGGTTATGGCTTTTTTCCATGCTGTTGGTCATGGCCCTTTCATTGATAGAATCATTGTAGCTGATGGTTTTGTTACAGTGTTCATAGAGCCATTGAACCCCCGTACCAACCGTGTCTGGTTTAGCCGGAGGAAAGATATCGACCGATGATGATGATGATGATGATGATGATGATGATGATGATAATGATGATGATGATGATAGCAGCAGTAATGGTAATAGCAGTAATGATAATGATGACATTAAAAGAAATAAGAGTAATGGTAATAGTAGTAATAATAATAATAATAATAATAATAATAATGATAATAATAATAATAATGAAAATAACTGTAATAATATTAATAATAAATATTATGATAATGATAGTGGTGCTGATGATAATAACAATGATAACAATGATGATGATGGTGATGGTGGTGATAGGTGACGATGATGATTATGAAA